GCTGGTCTGAACTAGGGCTTGGCATTTGAAACGTTGCTTCTGCTTTTTTAAATAGACGCGGACAGGATGAGGCAAATGGATGCGGCCGCGCGCTAGACGCACAGCCACCGCATCACAGGACACGTCTGAATATAACCCTAAATCGTTACCCAAACGGATAGAATCCAGACAAAACGGACATCCGTTTGGGGTTGCGCGGTGGAGTTGGCCTGAGAGCCTCACGCTGGTCCTAACTGGAGTGTTCACTGTATGGCTATCAGTTAATTTGTCTCCCTGCTTTTCAAAAGGAAATCTCGTCAGAAATTAGGGTGCTTCTACACATAGCAATAGCATGATCCAAATTATGAGCAAAACTAAGATGTAACCACAAATAAAAGGGAAAACAGAATAACACAAAAGTTGACCTAAACTTTTGGGATATAGGGTGATCCAAATTATGAGAAAAACTAGGATGTAAACACAAATAAAAGGGAAAACAGAAACAGAATAACACAAAAATTGACCTAAACATACCACCACCACATAACACGATCACCACCTGGAGTTATTGAGAGTGATATCTTCACAAAAGCCTTCGCGAAGAGCAACAACGCTTGTGTAGGATATCGTTGTTGTCATTGACCCTTGTCGACGGTTGGATTATGGATGGGTTTAGGCCTAAGACAATAATCCTTGGTTAATCTCTAAGGCCCATGCATGTATATGACAAGTGATAAGAAGTGTGGGAAGTTTAGTACCATATTGCTGCAGTAAGAAGAGTGAGACCTTTTTAGAAGGGTTGCTCCATCGCTTCCTATTGGAAGCTTGGGAATAGAAACTCTACATGTGCGCTCCTCCTCCGCCGCCGCCCGCCTCGCCTCACCATGCCTCGCCTCGTCATGAAGCGTGCGCGCGCCTCGGGTTGCGGGAATGAGCCGAGCCGTCGTAGGCCTGAGCCCAGACGCATCCATCCGACGGCCTATATAAGAAGGCGCTGGCCAGTGGAGTGAACCCTAACTCAGTTCACTCACTCCCTCTCGTACAACCCTAGTTGTCATCTACTGTTCCTCTCTCTGTGCTGCTTCCGGCGATCTCATCCCGACGACCGCGTGCACAGTTGGTCGGGAGAGCACGCGCGCCTCGGGTTGCGGGAATGAGCCGAGCCGTCGTGGGCCTGAGCCCAGGCGCATCCATCCGACAGCCTATATAAGAAGGCGCTCGCCAGTGGAGTGAACCCTAACTCAGTTCACTCACTCCCTCTCGCACAACCCTAGTCGTCATCTACTGTTTCTCTCTTTGTGCTGCTTCCGGTGATCTCATCCCGACGACCGCGTGCACGGTTGGTCGGGAGAGCACGTGCGCCTTGGGTTGCGGGAATGAGCCGAGCCGTCGTGTGCCTGAGCCCAGGCGCATCCATCCGACGACCTATATAAGAAGGCGCTGGCCATTGGAGTGAACCCTAACTCAGTTCACTCACTCCCTCTGGCATAACCCTAGCCGTCATTTCTTGTTCCTCTCTCTGTGCTGTTTCCGGCGATCCCATTCCGACGACCGCGTGCACGATTGGTCGGGAGAGCAGGTGCCTCTGGAATCCTGTCGTTCGAGATCCTGCCCGGGAGAACGGCAATAAGGTTTTTGGGAGCGTCTCGACGCGACTGCTCCCGATCTGTCCCCGTCTCCGTCCGCCTCTGCTTCCACTACTTCCCCTACATCGACTCCATGGCTGACAACGGAGCCGCCAAGAAGAAGGCCTCGGCCTCGGTTGAGGCTGCCGCTGCCCCTGCCGCGTTGGCCTGGCCAACCGGAGGGTATGACTCGTCCATCCCCTATTTGCTTGTTCATGTGTTGGCCGTATACGTATATATGATGTTCATAGATGTTTCGGTTCTATGTACTGTAGGTGCTCACATGCTTAGGTATCGGTATGAGATGCATACCGTATTTGCCATACTTACTGTTTACTCATGGTCTAGATTAGTCGAAAAAGTGCTAATATTTCCATAAATTCAAAAACCTTATTTTAGGCACTTTTCGACTCATGGCTTCGCCGCTACTCTGAAACCGGAAAAGTTTATCGGGACGTATTTTAAGCGTTGCAGAATAGGACTACCTTGTGGCTCATAGCATTTTAAGCGTTGGCAGAATAGGACTATGTTGTGGCTCATAACAATGAACGTGTTCTGGGTTGGTAGTGTGTCTTCCGTGGTAACGATTGCTCTTGAACAGGAGAATGCGTTTAAGGAGGCAACCACCATTTTTGTGGGAGCCGTTCTTACTATGATTGGAGACAAGCTAGTCAACGCGTATCTCCATATGCGTGTTGCCAAGAATTTGTGGGATGCGCTCGAAGCTAAGTTTGGCGCAATCGATGTTGGAAGCGAGTTGTATGCTATGAAGTAGTTTCATGATTACAAAATGATGGATAATCATTCTGTATTGGATCAGGCCTATGAGATATAATGCATCGTTAAGAAGCTGGAGGATCAGGCGCGGCCTCGTAGTAGTACCGTATTGATTCGGTGAGGATAGCCTGCAGCATCTGTCTGTCTCACTTGCTAGTCAGCTCGTGGAATTGGGCCTGCACTCACATCAATCGTTCTGGGTTTACGGAGAGAAGCGGTGTCCTTCATCCTCGATCGGCCGCGGAAGGGTCCCTTCAGCGAGTCAATACGCCGCGAAATCAACTTGAGAACGAACCGAAGAAGATGATTTCGAGTTCTCAGCAGATCGTTTGACCCGGCAGCCTGCAAATGCAGGCATTCATGTGACCGGCCACGACCCCGACGGCCAACTTCCGTACCAGCTCCCTCTCCTTTTCCTTGGTCCTATACTGCTTGATCTGCCAACAGTAGTCCCAACTGAGGAGTCCCGCGCTGGTCCTAACTGAGTGTTCACTGTATGGCTATCAGTTCATCTGTCTCCCTGAGTCTAGCTGTTTGTTTTTCAAAAGGAAATCTCGTCAGAAATTAGAGCGTTTCTACACATAGCATATAGAGGGGAAAAAAATAGAGTGATCCAAATTATAAAGAAAACTAGGATGAAAACCCCAATAAAAGGGAAAGCACAATAACACAAAAAGTTGACTTAAACAGTCCACCACCGCATAACATGATCGCCACCTGGAGTTACTGAGAGTGATGTCTTCAGAAAAGCCACTGAGAAAAGCAACGACACGTGTACGATATCGTTGTTGTCGTTGACCATTGTCGACCCGAAACTGCCTCACGTTCGATCAATTGTCATACGATTTGTACGACAAGAGACATGCCCGTTTTCCAAGGTCTGGGCCCACCACATCAGATGAGTCTTCGCATACAAAGATCGTACCGAATTTGATCGTACGTATAGCAGCTCTCTTGTCGACCATAAAGCTTTTGCCCATACTTGGACTCGACCGCCCAACTCAGTTTTGATGAATGGTTTATCAGAGGTAACAGACTTCGTTGCCGCTTTAACTCTAAGCGAACATGGCCCATTGTATAAAGCTTTGTCCCAGAGCCTAATTCCTCACCACCTTGGCGAATCCTGGGTTGGAGGGCTAGCCGTTATGAAACCCACAAGACCGAGCGACATATTTTTTGTGTTCGACAACAAGTAAGCACACAAAATGGAGCAGAAGGACATCAACAACACCACCACAATGGAGAAGCAACCGAGTCAACGTCAGCACCACCACTCCTGTTCAGCATGGAACATGCAATACCACCATGCCCGTCAAGCAACCACCTCATGTGTCGCACTACGACTAGCAACATACCACAACACCCAGGACCACCACCACGAGCGGGTCGTTATTCAAGGCGAGAGAGGTAAGTGTCGCCCCCATGGACTCCTCGCAGGCTTCGCCGGGTGGAGTATCTCGGCGAGGAAGAGGGAGAGAGTCAGATGGCTGGGGAGCTGCCATCACCTTTATCTCCGAGTGTATGGAGCAACACAGGTTAGTATGTTTCCTAATTCTAGTTCTTGGTTGGTGTAACCAGCAAAACCTCT